CAATATGAGTACAGACCTGGGGGTTTATAGTAATGCAATCACATTAGCATAAATGTATATCCCCAACATTTTCCATGTAGATAAATCATTTTGCATAGGCACTCAGGACTGAGGCAAGAAGCAAGATCAAGATAAATCAGTAGAAATCCTACGTTTTCTACCATCTATGACAATTTCCCCTTTTAGTTTGCAATATCCCAGTACCCAACAGATCGAGTGGTATCTAGGGGAAAAGCACCTAGCTCCAGCTGCAGGGAAGAGCCTCATCATGCTGAGAGTCACCTCAGGCTGGTGGTGTAGCACTGTGCCCTAATGTACATTCCTGCCTTTCTGTACAACTCAGCAAGCTCAGGCACAACATGGGGTCACTGTGAACTAGACCTGGTTCATGTCACACTGGCTCAACGTACAAGGCACACCAGCCCTGTGCCTAGGGCTGTCCTTGCACACACACTCTGAGGGGTGCAAGGGACTCCTGCAGCCCCAGGGCAAAGTGGACATCTAAGCAGGTGCTCTAGGGTGCTGCAGGTTGAGCTTAGAAGACATCATTTGGCTCACCTGACTGTAATCTAAAGCCTTGTGTACACAAGGAAGTTATGAAGTAAACTAAGGTGACAGAGGAAAAATGGAAGAGAGATTCTACACTGACTTCAGGTGCAGATCATTCTGGGACACAAGTGAACCCTCACTGCTCAGCTCAATCCCCATCCAAAGAAAGCTCATTCCAAGGAACTGGGAAAACTGAGTTCAAATCTGTGAAAACAATCAGAGTAACTGTGATTGCATTGTACGCTTATTTCACGGTACTTCTCCATATTGAAAGAGGAATGTAGTCTTAATTCACTGCAGCCATACTGAGAAAGGTGTATGCTGCAGCATCTTGTCAATTGGTCAAACAATGCATGAGTTTATACTGTGTCAGCCCTGTCAATGCCAGGGTCGATGTTTTTAAACCACATCCATCAAAGGCAGCATGGGAGGGTCTTGCCAAGCCAGGGTTTGCGGCTGTGGCCTTCATCTCACTGCAAGAAAGGCAGACTTTAGCTCTTTAGACCCATCTCCTCTGAAGTTTTTAGACAACTGACACTTGCATATGTTTAGATTGTTTGGAAAATTGGTTTGAGGCCCAAATTTACAAAGATGTTACAAAGAAGCATCTAGCTTCTATTCTGTTTCCTTGGGACCTTTGGGAATTTGGGCCATAGATCTTTTTAAATAATGTTTTCATTGTGCCTGATCTAACCTTCAGTTACTCCTCAAGGCTAAGAAAATGAGAATTCTAGAAGCTACCTAAGTGTCACCTGTACATTGTCAACAGTAAGCTGATTTGAGGCAGTAGGTGCACTGGCAAAACCTAACCACAAACACAGAGGTGGAAAAGAGGAGTATGTTGTTCAAACTTCTGCGCAGTACAAGACTGCTTCATATGCCATACTTTCTGCAATGTGATGGAACACAGGTTGCCCAGGGAAGTTGTGGAGGCCCCATCCCTGGAAGTGTTCAAGGCCAAGTTGGATGAGAGTCTGAGCAACCTTGTCTAGTGGGAAGTGTCTCTGCCAATACAGGGGGGTTGGAACTAGATCTTTAAGGCCCTTCCAACTCAAACCATTCTGTGATTCTATGGTTCTATAGTTAAACTATTAATTACCTCCAGAGAATTCGTAACCTTATTTACTGCTTAAATTGTGTTGACCAAGAAGCTTGCATTTATTTATTTATTTATTTTTAAATCAAGCTTTTGTACCAGCAAACTAAGATTTACAGTGTACCCAAAATGAAACCTTGTGTGGCACTGAACAGAAGGATGTGTGCTGTGGATGGTGAGACTGGAAGAAGGGTTTTCCTCCAGGGACACAGGTTGCCTTCCCATCCCTGCTGCTCTCTACTGCCTTCCTGCTTGCATTCAGAGCTGACAGAAGCTGCCTTAGGCTGCCAAAACCACTGGATTTTATATTGCTGATTACTGTAACAATGTACTTGCAGGAAAATTTCAGGACTTAAGTAGTCTCTGCAGAAATACTTTACCTCTCAGCCAGGCTTCAAAAATAAACTGAGCCTCATAGGTCTGTTCTCTCAGGACACAAGGACGTTGGTCCAGAGCAGCAAGCTGACTGCAGCAAGAACTGTCCATGAGGCTCCCGGGGTGCAGCAGGAACATGAACATTAATTTGGAAACTGGGGCAGACGCACACCGGCATGAAATGGCGATGTCTGAAATTGTGTAGAAAGAAGTTTGAAAGGAAACAACCGGGGAGAGCGAGGTGCTGACCAGCCAGAGGGAGGATGTGGCACCGCTCAGAGACCGAGCGGGTCTGCAGAGCTGGAAACGTCTTGTGAAAACTGGAAAGCAAAACGCGTACAGGGGATGTCAAGCAGCTCCCGCCATCCCCTCCGCATTAAACCTGCTCAAAACGAGGGAAGAAAGGGCTCGGTTCTGGGCAGGAACCTCGCACCGCTCT